ACAAACTTTTTTCGTTTGAGAAACGCGAATACATCCTCTCAAAGTTTCGTTTTATAATTAGTAATATTCAAAATTATATGAAAACGGACATCCAAGAACTTGAAACACAATCGAGTTTTAAAATTAATTAAAAGTCACAGTCGAGTGGACGCGTCCACATACGTCAATCGCTCCTGCGAGATGGGAAGGCTTTATGCTTATTCTTTAGTTTGTGCGCGACCACAGCGTAGTGGACATCAGCGCGACAGTCTCAATAGCACCCCAAATTGTCACTGCTTCTAGCCACCAATTAGGCTATCGCTGCCTACTGGGTTGTTGGTAAGACAGAGATAACGCTCTATGAAGTTGAAATCAGCGGAATGACTCTTTCCAAAGGCCCTCAGCGCCCTTTTCGAGAGCCTCTTAGAGAGGGCTAGACAGTCAACTGTAAAGTAGATAACTTAACAGTTAACTTTTGCTCTCAAAAAATTATATATGTCACAAAATTTTGTTATCTAAAGAATGTTTGACAATCGGTATACTACTAAATATTTAACTTTCGTAATTATTTTTTCACACTTTTTAAATATGTGAAATATTTACTGTTTTTACTGCTCTATACTGCTCTGTGGCAAATTTGCTGGCACATGTACGAAGGCCACCGACGAGTAAAGTGCAACGCCACAGAGCAGCCACTGCGGCTTACAACTTCGGCTGTACCCGACTTTACTTCCATTTGATCTGACGTGCAGCTTTCATAAAACGATGTATGGCCAGGCTTGCGGACCACACGCTATTTAATTAAGTAAAATAAGCTGTCACGACAACACCAATAGCTTTAGTGCTCAGCGAACTCATCCGTACGCGATTTTTAAGGGCTCCACGGATCGTGACAGTTGGTAAGTATACTTGACCGTTAATATATATACATACATGTATAATTTTTTTAATTAACTTTTAGGGTTTAGAACTTCATTCGGCGAAAACGGAACGATTTTAGCATCTATTTGCTGTCCGTCTGTTAAGACACCTTTTAGTCAGGAACCGGTGGAGGAAACAAGTTGAGATTTAAGTAATATACGCTTTTAAGCCAAAGTTCGTGAGTTAGTGTTTTTTATTGAAACATTTTCATACAGTTTTAGTGGAGCCTTAACTCAAAAATTAGGTTATCCTGTATTTCAAGAGCCAATCCCATCCCCTAAAAGAATAAGGCTTTATAAGAAACGGTCATTCCATCACACATTACAATATTAACGACAAATTTTTCAACTGAATTGTTAAATACGACCCGTTGCCCTAACAAAGCGAAATAACAATATGTTATCTTAGAGGATGATAATCTCTAGTACTTATTTCATTCAATAAATATGGTTTATAATAAAAATGTATAAATAAGTTTTTACGGTAAAATATGAAAACTTATAAAGGGAACATTGAAAAAAACTTGGATTATAAAATGTGATGAAAATGTGTTTGTATCGTACTTTACAGATTTAATAGAAAAAATATAAAAATAAATAAGTGTCTAGAAAACTGAATAAGGTAAAGTCACGGCGTGTGTTATTTGTTATTAGTTAATATGTACTCGTATATCATCTATTTTATCTCTGATTCCCAGCAAAAGAATTTACAGCGTCAACAAATAAAAACTTCACTCATTAAGGCCTGTTGAGTGAGTCAAAACCATCCGGTTATTTATGGTCCATAAAAAAATAACCATAAAAGTATATAGCGGCACATTTAAATTACAGATAAGCAATAGAATTGCAGAACAGAGCAAGGCGAGAAAAAAAATTATGTTTATTCGTAATTGTCCGATGATGGAGCTTTACCATTTACACCATTTAATAGGTGCAGCCAGGAAGTGAGTAGTATGAACGTTGCGAAGGCGAAAGTTTGTGTGTATGTTTGTCTCATCGCGGCTGGAAGATTTTGAAGCAAATCCATATGGTTCAAAATTTTCCCATCGCTGTCGCATCAATCAGGTGATGGAAGGCCAAACGTTCACATTTGCAACAGTAAAAGTTCAAATACTTCTGCGACCCAATTGAATACCGAATATGATGAACAATATTTTCCAAGTGTCTAGGTGTTTATATATGCATAATATGTTTAATTATAGTTGTCAGTTACCGACTGGTTGACGTTGTGTAAGAATATGTGTAATGTTATATCATAAATCAAATTAGGCCTGTATACATGTTAATGATTACGTAGACGAGTCAGGCAATCTATTCGAATGTAGCCACTGCGTATCGTCTTAGTATCGACAAGAAATATATAAAAGAAGCCGAAAGCTAAACCTAGTTCTGAATAATTATATAAAAGAGAATAATATACAGTTTTAATTGCGATCGCGGCGTCCTTTGATATGTTAGTTTGTGAAACTAGTGGCAAGTATGCGAGAGAAAAAATGCATTTGCGTCGTTGAAATAAAACTAACAAGCGCACATGTTTGAAGCGTTTATCATAACGGCATGTGATAGTTATCTTATTTATTTATTTTATTTTTAAACTTCATGTACAAAACACTGTACATAGGCGAATAATAATGCTGCCATCATTTTCTACCACTCAACCCCCTGGTTGGTACCAAGAAATTGAGATAGGTGCATAATCATATTAAAAAAATGACAAATTAAACATAAATATACAACATAAAATACAATATACCTACTTAAATAGATGTTTGCATTATGATGTATACCATATTAATAGTTAAAATTAATGCAATGAATAATTTTGACCTAATGGTTTAGAATATCACTAAATTCATTGTATTGCTGCTTGTACGCACTTTTTATAGTATCAAAATAATACGACACGCTTATTTTTAGTTCATCCAACAATGGTGACTAAAGCTTTCATACGAAACTAGCCAGTAGGAATCTGGTATAAAACATTGCAATCTGAACCTCTTCATACCGTGGCTTTCACAATGTAATTATAATAGGAAAATTATAAAAATATTTTTAAGAATGCGTTCTGGACATATTCCGTCAAACAAATTTGCATTCATTATGAAAAAAACAAACTCTCCGAATTGTAGTCTGTGTAGAGTTGAGGAGGATGTACAACATGTTTTGTTGGAATGTGTCAAGAACAAAAAGGAGGAGGGAGGAAATGATGGGAGCCTTGAACATAAACTCTTACAACATAGGAATTGCGCAGTCAATCTTGTCTCTACCAATTTCAGATGATGCAAAAAATTATGTTGTGCAGCTTGTGTTCTCACAATAACGTGGATATAGTTTACTTCTAAGTATAGAAATGAGATGGTCACAATGGGGTTGACATATACAAAAAGGATATAAACCCCAAAACAAATTCGGATAAAAAAAAAGAAACTAGCCAGCAGGCCTGGTGATAGTTGGCTGTATCTTGATGGAAAACGCAACTAGCTCAGTAAATGCCTGTTCACTCTTGCTATGAAAAATAACCCACGAAGATTATCCAGGGAACGGTAACATTCGTGGTTTTTTCCCATTACCTCTACTAGGTGACACTAGATTTATCAACTTTAGCTCTTGACCAATTATAATGGATTTCTAACTCTTAGTTTCGCCAAAACAACTTCACATATGTTGAATATTTATTATGAATATTTCATAAATTCGTGAATATCTTAACTTTATATTCTACTAGTATCTTTGGTTTTTCTTATTCATTACTCAGTCACCATCGCGACATTAAATGAACCCTATGTGGGTTAGGGGATAACTTTTTAAAGTTGTATTAAACATTAACATTTTTTAAACAGCAATATTTACAGAGTTATTTTATTACATTTTCCAAAACAAAGAATTTTAGAACACCCTTACGTATAAAACTGTAACGTAAAGTTCATTTGTAAAGGTCACAAAGAATATGAATGTCATCAATCAGAAGGAGAGGTTTGTAATGCGACGCTGTGGTGCGAGTTGTATAGGTGTTACAAATTTTATTTCTTTTTTACTTAATTAGTTTGTGTGAAAAATATTTTTTTTTATTATGGATTTTGTTTAACGTTAATATTTTTTATGATAATTGGCAAGTAGCGTTAGACGTGTGTTCATTTATTGTCGCGATGGTAACGAGACGCTGTATAACTTAAGATTGCCAATTATAATGTTCTTGACACTTTTAATACCAACTTAACCTGGAAATATATATATAAATGTAAATTAACTTCCAAATATTTAATTTTGATTGACAGATAATTTTTATCAATTTCCCGCCAACCTTTTAAAAAGTTAACTCACAGGCCATAGACAGCGGGGATATCGTTTTAAAAAAAACGAAATACGACGGACAGTACGGGAGTCGGGTTTAATCGTTGCTTTCGTGGGCTAACAATGTTTTGATGTATTGTGGTAAGTTCAGTGGCCTTTTAATTTTTTTCTTGATCCGAGTGGAAAGGGTTTGAGGACACTTTTTGTGTCAGCCCATGCCTCGTAGGTGTCTAATTCGGAGTTTTTGTGGCATCGGTCACGGCTTCATACTCCTGCCGCATTGGATGACAAAAACATTAGGTTTTTACACATATTTCGTTGAGGTCTCAATACCACAGAAAGTCCGACGCCAAATTGCTCGTCTCACCGATTTCGTTTTGTATTATTGCCTTAATTTAATAGTTACTTGTTATTCTTATTCTTAATCTGTTTCAATTTATTTATTTTTCACCTATTTTTATGGCAATTAAGCATGATAAATAAATATTAAATGTTCACAATAATATAAGCCATTTAAACATCATCCAAAATGCTATCCGAAAAAAGCCTTTTTAATCATATTTATTCTGATTAAAAACATAAAAAGGTTATTTCAGGACCATAGAAAACAAATCAAGCATATTTTAAACAAGAAATCAATTTGTTATCTGCACACTATATTATTTTTCGTATTAATTTAATATTTACGATATAACGGAACTACTAAAACTATGAACTATTGTCTATGTCGATATCTGGTTGAATACAAGTGCCAAATGAAAAAACAAATAAACATTAATAAATAAAAAAAGCAAATGGGGTTTGTCTCACGTTGCTGCCGTGAGCCGGTCCCGTACTTACTTCGTCCTAAAACAAAAGAGAATAAAAACATTAGAATAGACATCAAAAAAATAAATGAAACATAGACAAAAATAATCCATTAATGTACCATAAGGTTTCTCGGATTGTTTATCCGTTCGGATATAAAGAATACACAAAAACGCTAAGCCTGATTAAAGAATGCATGTTACCCAATACTCCAGTTAAAGAGATGATCTCTCTCAAACTACCATGATTTGTAACGCTCACAAGGTACATTTTGAAATTTGTTACTATAACTGTTTCCTATCAGAATGAAAACTTGTATTTACGCGAATATTATGCGTCTATACAAATAAATATGTCATGTTCGTCGTTTATTATTGCAAATCCTTATGACCAAACATCAAGATCGACCTACTTATAGAGTCAGGAGGCCCTATATTTGTATTTCGTTCGCGTTACACGTAGAAAGTCGCGTTATAGCTCAGTGTCCGGGCGCTCGTTTTTAATTCAATATACTCGAGCAACCTGAGTTCGATCCCGCGTTGTGCACTATGCCCTAATACCCTCCATACAAAGAAGGCACATATGTGCATATATATATATATATCGCCGGTTACCTTACGCTATGTAGACATAAACGCACGTTCGCTTTTAACTTAGTTTTCACGTTGTGTACGTTGTCTCTCTCTTTCCTCTAACAAGTCGTGAATCTTATCTGCCATCTCGTTCACGCAACCAGGGTAGCGGTGTTAGGTATATTCCGAGGTTCTATTCTTTTAGTGTATTTTTTTTCGCTTCTGCGAGTATCGCGACTATGTAAATAATCAATTGATCAAATCTACCCCTTTGCCCACTGTCCCCGCAGCTCAAAAGAGAATAAGCCGGTAATAACCATTACTATGAGTATAGCTTCTTAACCGTTCGCCAAGCAAATGACTGTTCATTATATTTTTACAACATTCGCAATTTTTCCCAAGCAAGTCTGGTAAGAGGGGGGGGGGGGGGGGGGAAGCTCCCATCTACTCCATTTCATCGCAGGTCGTGACGTCACCGACCACCCACGGACAGCGGCGGGCTAATTAAGACATTATGCGCGGTTACACGATATGGCCTGGTGAGGAATTCCTTCGGCCCCTTAACGGCCCAATTAGTGCCCAAAACGTTGTGACCCTGACGATGGGCCTTTCGGCCTCGGCTGCCGGTGTTCCGTGCACACGGAACCCAAGGAAAGTCCACGTCGTATACATACGTACATTATTATATAACAATCTATACTAATAAACGGAAAGCTGGTTTTTCGATCGGTTATAGTGAGAAAACTACTGAACCGATATAAGAATCGTGATACCGCGTGGCAGCCAGCACCCCAATACAGAAAAGCCCGCAGCAAGCCATGCATAAAAGTACTTCAATATAAGAAAACGAAAGAAAAACCGCGCGTAGGGCATATATAAAGACCACGCGAGTAGCTATTATGTATAACTCAAACAGTAATCCTTACTAATATTATAAAGGCGAAAGTTTGTATGTATGGATGGATGTTTGTTACTCTTTTACGCAAATACAGCTGAATGGATTTTAAAGAAACTTTACAATAATGTAGCTTATATATCAGAATAAGACATAGGCTATAATTTATATACATATTTTATGTATATCTGTCTTTCTGTCTGAATATTACGGCTTCAGCCTATTCTACGCAGACGTAGTCGCGGGCAGCAGCTAGTTGGCAATAGATGTAATTGTACACGGAATCGTATTCGCGGCGCGGCGGTGCCGAAACCGACTTTATAATTTGAATACGAGCGCGTCTCGAACGGAAGTCGATCTATCATAGACAGCGATCAACGCCACAAGTAACGGCCCTCTTTGATCGGACCGCGTTTATGGTTACCATAGACTATAAACGTCGGGAGGCCCTGAATAAACACGCCTTTATATGTCCGTATAGAATAAATTAATTCGTTTGAAAAAATGCTCTTGCTTTTGTATTTGTTTTGATGGGAAGCAATATTTCTAAAGCGAATACAATCACTAAACTGGCTCATGAATTATCATAGCAACCGTCTTGAGTATATTATGTAACATGATTCTTATGAAGATTCATTCTTAATATTTATAGAGAATCTCAAATATTTCGGGTGCCTAGAAGTGGATGCAAATTGGATAGAAGAATTAGGTCAGTGACGTCACAATGGAGTGGTTATATAATTTCTTTGACCAACGATATTGGAATGTAGAAGTTATAAACTAGCCTTAATAGGCTTCACTTCACGTAGATAAGCTAGTTTATAACTTTTACAAACGCAACAAAATCACAAAACATTTAAAAATTTAACAAACGCGAAAATCACACCGTTTGACAAATGTAACAAACGCAAAAATCCGTAGCAATCTTCCAGCAAGAATCTTTGTTACACATTGTAGTGACTCGGCATAATTAAGACGAGAGTCTTGACAGTTACATACGATTCAACAAAATATAATGGCTACAAAAATGCTAATAATAAATAACATTCATACTTCTGCGATAGTCAGGAAAACATTGAAATTACAATTATAGTTTATTTTTAACATGCATATGTATTAAAAATGTTGGTAGTGAAACTTTAAGATAAGTTATCGAGTAAAGTTTTTGAAAAAAGGACATCAATCCACGTAAATAATCCAACAAAATATAACAAACGGAAAAAATGCCGCACATCACGGACGAATATCGTATTTATCGCTTGACAATTAAGTCTATATTCAATTAAGCGGGATCCGTGACAAATGGGTGTTTTATCGGTAAGCAGTAATAATAGGTCTCTTATTGGAGGCAAATGGCTTCATTACAGCGCAACGTTGGTGGCACGGACGTGTTAAAAGACCCAACACGACTTCGGAGTTCGAACAACGCGGAGTATTTATATATTTATAAAATATAACAATCAGCTACTCGTGAATTTCTTCAAGATGTTATTGTAATATAAAGCGTTCTCCATTCGTGTTACACATTTTATGTGTACGATTTCTGTACGGTTAGACCTAGTAATGGAATATTTTTTTTATGCGAAAAGTTGTCAAACGAGCAGACGGTTCACCTGATGTTAAGTGAATACCGCCGCCCATGGACATCTGCCACACCCGAGGGTTACAGATGCGTTGACAAACTTGAAAATTGGGCTCCGGCTACCTCGCTCACCAGACGAAACGCGAACGTATTTGTCATACTTCCACTTTACGCTGGTCTTCTGTGAGGTCGTGGTACTTATCCGGACGGGCCCATTCGTGCAACAGCCGAGGCTGCTGCGTGGCCCTACCACCGTAAAATATACCTATGTTCGATCTAATATGTACCATATTTATGTGTGCGCTAGTAAGATGAACAGTGTGCATGTGTGTGTAACCATTTATTATAGAAAAAGTTTTTTTTTTTTTAAGTTTGTTGCTAATAAACCATCGTTATTATTGACACCGTATTTCTGTTACCAATCTCTACAAAGAAAGTGAACCTTATTACAAGAACAAGTTCTTTGTATTGACTCTTTGTGTCAATCTTATATTGACATTGACTAGTCTACATGTAAAGAATTTCGGTGTGGCATCAGCTGTGGCACAGCGGTAAGTTAAAACATTTCAAGTATGCCAACAGTAGATATGTGGTGGTCTAGAGATTTTTTTTTATCTACGGTAGGATTACGCAACAGTCTTCGCTGTCGCACGAATGGGCAGGTTCGTCCGGGGAAGTACCGCGACCTCACAGAGGACCGGTACAAAGTGGCAGTGTTATAATTCTGCGTTTTGTTGAGTGAGATAGCCGGAGCCCACTTTATTGAAAGGTGATAACGCATTCGTAAGATGTAATCCTACGGGTGTTGCAAATATCGATCGACGGTTATCACTTAACATCAGGTGAACCGTCAGCCGGCTTGCCGCACATAAGATATTCTCAGATAAGGTCAAATTAACGGGAAACAAAACCGACCTCAAATGTCTCGCTCTGTATCCATTTTATGATTGATTTTCACGAGTTCCCTAAGTATCTCCGGAGCCAAATTCAATAATGAATATGGGACCACATGGGCACCAGCTTTAAAATAAAAAAAGAATGTAAAGGTGTGGTGTAAAGGTAACAAACGTAAAAAATACAGTTGAACATAGACCCTCCTCCTTTTTCGAAGTCGGCTGAAAACATAAGAAGACGACGATTACCACCAGGTGAACAGCTCATTCAATACCCATCATTTTGATATAATAAAAACAGCCTTTAACATTTGCATCTTTTATAATTCTTTTATTCGATATCGTAGCTCAACTTAATTATATGCCATGTTCGTTATTAAAACGCGTTCTACTTCCGAATAGTTCTGGTTTATGGAGGAGAATAAAAAAAAATGAAAAAAATCGAGGAATGTGCTAAGTGTATGCCTAATATTTTAATAGGCACTTTTTAATTCACAACTGTGGAACGATAAATGAAGTTATTTGGTCCGGTGATATGGGAGTTTTTACGACACATGGACGTTGAGTTTGGTAAACATTGTTGTGGATTTCTGTAAGATAATATCATATTTTAAATATTATTTAAGAAATATATTAAATAAGAACATTCACCATTTAGCAATCTGAATGTTATAAAATATGCATGACTTTTATTTTCGGCAATATTTTTCCTGTATGTTTTTGTTACATCTAACTTAGTACTACACAAATTAGGCAGTTCAAAAATGTTAGGTAACCCACCACTGGTGAGCCAGTAAACTTTAACTTTAGATTTTCGTTGGTGTGGCAATCAGTCGTTTAGCTTAGTGGCTAAAGCGTCAGGCCGCGAAAGCCGAAGTGGCAGGCCGTGGGTTCGGTTCCCACAGCGGCGACAATCTTTTCGTACTTTTTCTACAAGTTTTAACAGTAAACTTTATTAGAGAAGCTTCGATTAATCGGTAATGCATAACCTATTACTGACTTTAGCTAAGCAACTCAGATACCCCTTTAATCGAAGCCTGCTTTGTCTAGAGACCGTTAGGGCACAGACCATCTCGTGGCCCCAACAAAGTTTCTGGACCAATCAGATAATAAGCGCAATCTACAAGAAATAGGAAACGTTTAAAAACTTTATAATTCACAAAGTAGCAGCTTCTGCTATTGTACGAGGTATCACGGGCATACAAAACACTGGCTTGTAGTGAAAGTATACACTTTCGCGTTTCGTCCGTTTAGTGGGGTAACCGGGGCGCACTTTTAATGTGTGGCAATGGATCTGCAAATCAAAGTTGTCGGTAATCACATAACAT